CTCAACCCCCCTTCCCTTTCGTAATCGAGTCCGACTCTTGTTGGGCACAACGCCAATAAACACGCGCCCCCAATCACTGCGCGCCAAGCAAGCACTCGACACAGTGTGTTACCGCTAATCAACCAATAATTGAAGTCCAATCACTGCGCGCCAAGCAAGCACTCGACCCAAGAATCCATAGACCAATCAAATCCATCAAGGCGAAATCGTTAAGACCAATCAATCCATCAAGGCGGAATCGTTAAGACCAATCAATCCATCAAGGCGGAATGAATATAGACGCCAAAATGAATATAGACCATTTTGGCGTTAAGGGTGAACGGTAGTTAGTCTCTCTCAGTCTCTCACCTTGTTGACGGCTCTTTCACCAGCGAGGCTCGAACTCTACCGTCTTCAACCGAATAGAACGCCCTGTCATTATCGCTGCATCTGGACCGAAAGTTGTGCCCAATACACAGCTATAATGACCGGGCGTTCTATTCGGCTGAAGACGGGAGCCTCCCTTCATAACTACCGTAGGCGTTCTATTCGGTTGTTGACGGATGAGAGTATATAGAAGATAATACTGTAATACTGTATGTCACACATCATGAAAGATGCTGGACGAGATTGCAGTCAGATTCATCCAGATCTCGCCGCAATCGCAGTCCGATACATCCAGATATCGCCGTATATAGAAGATAATTCGGGCTCTTTGGCCCGACAGACTCGACCACGTTATACAGTAATAATATTGCAACTGGACTCTCGAAAGCTCTCCAATCTAAACGAAAGAATAATCGAGCAAAAAAAGATACTAAACCCTAAACCAGGAAAAACTGTAAGGGCATAATCGCACTAGATCTGGACGTGATTGCAGTCAGATTCATCCAGATCTAGCTGCAATCGCAGTCCAATACATCTACGAGAGTCCTAGTGTAAGTAGTATGGCCTACGAGTTCACGAAGCTTCTAAACGAAATAAATAATAATCGAGTAAAAGATACTAAACACTAGGGACTTTTTTCTAATAAGCTCTGGACATGATTGCAGTCAGATTCATCCAGATCTCGCCGCAATCGCAGTCCAATACATCTAGGAAAGTACAAGTGTAGGTATGGTCTAAGAGTTCAACCAAAAAAAAAAAAAAAAAAAAAAAAAACTTCTAAACGAAATGAATAATAAATTAATAATCGAGTAAAAGATACTAAACACTAGGGACTTTTTTCTAATAAGCTCTGGACATGATTGCAGTCAGATTCATCCATATCCGATCTCGCCGCAATCGCAGTCCAACAATACATTTACGAAGGTCCTACGTCTTCACTCGAATAGAACGCCCGGTCATTATAGCTGTGTATTCGGCACAACTTTCGGTCCAGATGCCTACGAGTTCACGAAGCCTTTTTTTTCCAAATGAAGCCAATTCACCCCCGTGACAACGACACAGAGAGCCGCCCGCCCTAATCCTAAAATCCTAAAAGAGACCAAGGAGGACGAATCTGCCTGCCTGTCCAAGCCTGAAATGCACCCAGCTCTCTGCAAGCGATGACTTTTTTTCTGCTCTTCTTCCGTTCTCTCCAATAACAATCGAGATCGGTAAATCATCGCCGCTCTTTTGACTTAACGGTAAATCCAGCACCATCGCAACGGTTAAATCAAAAGAGCGGCGATGATTAAAGGAGACGATGAAGACTACCTTCTTCCCCCGAATACAACGTACGGTCATTATAGCTGCATTTGAGGCATCTTTCCGTCTAGATACAGCTATAATGACCGTACGTTGTATTCGGGGGAACACGGTAGGTGGGAGAGAGAGGGGGAAGGGAAGGTGGGCGCGCGCAGACCGCGCCGGGCCCGCACTACAGCTCTCTCGCTATTCCCCTTCCCCCCTTGCCTACTCTACCTCCTGTTGCTCATCGAGAGTTTTGGGAGGGCTTTCCTCCTCCTCCTCCTCCCCTCCTAACCCGTTTCCATCCACTGCGTACCGTACTGTCTCTTTACTCTACCTCCTCTCCTCCTCCTCGCCTCCCAACCAAAACCCGTTCACGTGGGCTCACGGGGAAATTGGAGACGATCGCGATCGGAATCTCCACTGCCACCCCATTCTTTTTTTTTTCTTTTTTCTTTTCTTTTGGTTAGCCACCCCATTCTTACTTTTTTGGAATAAATTTGGAATTTCTTTCTGGAATAATATACAGTAGCATTATCCTCTACAATCCGCGGCAATCTGGCGTTTTTCCATTTATTTTTTTTTCGGATTTCCACTCCTCATTCTTCTCAGCGTCTACGTTTACCTTCTCCTCGTCCTGCCCGTACCCTCCTCCTCCTCATCCTGCCCCTCCCAATCACCATTCTTTCGAACGTTTACTCTCTCCTCATCCTCCGCGTTCCTACAGGTCCACCTTCCATTCCATCTTTCTCTTCTCTCTTTCGCCTCCCCTCTCTTCGTCCTAATTACACCTATTTCCTTCTTCTTTTTTTTTTTTAGTAATAACAGAACCTCATGGTTCTGGCTCCTACACCTATTTCCTCTTTTCATCTCCCTTTGTTTTTTTTCTCTCCTCTTCCTGATCGTACTCGCGGTGATCATATGCATACCATCTTCATCCATCATCTTCTCTTCTATCTGATCTGAAGGCTATTGGTACCCTCCTCTCCTCTCTCTCTTTCCCCTCCGACCCCTGTACCTTCTCCATGCTTTGGCATCCCCTCCTCTCTCTTTTCTTCACCTCCTCAGACTGTTAAAAACGTCGGCTTCACTAAGTAATTCCTCTGTTCGCTTCCGTGACTGCATCGCCCACCCCAACTGCAGCGCTCATCGCGGGCGTCATGGACAAGCCCGTCTTTCTTCTTCGAAGAAGTCAACGCCCGCGTCGAAGGCCGCCACTATCCCACATAGCAGCCGTTGAGATGCATTGACCACCTCCTCCTCCTCTTTTTGTCACCCTCACATCTTCTCTCTTCGCAACGCCCTCCCCTCGTCCTCTTTTACGTCCTCCCTCACACCTTCCTCTCTCTTTGCAACACCCTCACATCTTCAAGTCATACAGCTTCACGCCACTGTCCACACACTGTCAGAGTCCTCTTCTTTCTCCTGTCCAGCTTCACGTCTGCCCTCGCGTAGCCTTTCTCCTCCTCCTCGCCCTGTTTCTTTCAACATCATCGCCACACTTATACTTCTTGACTTTCTTCTCGTCCACCATCTTTTGCAAGGCCCATCGTAACCGGCGTCATTCTCGTCATTCTCGTCATCATCACCACAGGTCTCTCTTCTCCAATTCCTGTACCCGCCATTGGCATCCACTAACACCATTCCTGACTCCATCATCATCACCACGATCATCATGAACGTGATCATCGCAACGTCATCTTCGAGGACCTCATCATCACCGTCACATCTTGCAGCTGTTCGTACCATCTATACACTGGTTGAGCTTGATCATCATCGCCAGCAGCAGCAGCAGCACCACCAGCGGCAGAGAAGCAGAGAAGCAGGATCAGGAGGAGGATGAGCAGTACCAACCAACCACAAGGATCATCATCACCGTAACTACACCGCCAACAGCAGCAGCAGCAGCAGCAGCAGCAGCAGGAGGAGGAGGAATTACGACCATCACTGCCACTACTGATTGTGCTTTTCTTAGCCTTCAGGTCTTTTGTTCATTCGTTTTCTTCTTTTTCCGTCTTCTTCTTCTTCGTTGTCGTCATCGCCGTGAAAGAGACGCAAGCTTCGCTTTCGGATTGGCGATGGCCAATACCATACGGCGAACACTAAGCAGCACGACGACGACA